TACAGTAATGCCTTCAGACAGCTCTCATATGAGTGTCTGCGTAGATCAACCCCTCTCCACTGATAATAATGAGCCCTCTGGGTGAGATCAGGGTGGAGACAGTGGGAGAGGAGGGTCATAAAGTGTAGAATATTAATGTCTGAGACTATAAGCCCCCCCATCTAGTATAATTTTCACTTAATCTTGTCCACCAACGATCTCCTTTTAAAGAGCTTTTTTCATAGTACACTTCCATTTCCATAACAGCAATTAAAAGCCACAAACCTAAAATGACTACTACAATTAAACTGCCTGCATAACAAACTATACAGTGCATCCAGCCGCCCCTCAACTCCCCCTGCTCCCCTCTCTGACTCTTATCATCAGTATGCCTTGTTTTTCATCTGAATATATCTGCGCTCCCTCATCTTTGTCTTTTATCTCTTGTGTTTGTTTCTTCTACCCTGGGGATTTGTAGCCCAGGGTGTTGTTTGTAATGATCTTTGAGACATCTGACCCATCCTGTGCTGAGGCTTTCATAACAGGCGTTCTGCCCATTATATGATAACATGCATAATAGCAAAAAAAAGTACAATCTCTGTTCATTATCGAGCTTATTCGTGCTCTTTAGACAAAACATTTTATATTTACCAAGCTGACTGGGAACTTTATATGATTATTTGCCCTAACATGACAGCTCAAGGGAAAGCCTCTCCCTTTAGCTGTCACGTTGGGCTTTCCTTGTCTCTTCTCATCGGAGGTCAGATTATAGTTTAATGCTGAAACTGCCCTGAATGAGGCAAATACATACTGCAACTGCCCACAGAATAACTTTTTTCTTAATATTTAGAATAATAAATTTTTTCTTACTATTACTGCTATCACCGGCAGAATTAGTAGTACTTCTCAGAGTGGAAATCTTATAGGCTGATTCCGGTTAGTTCCTTATGTTATTGTCATGCACATAAAATAATTTTGCCCAAAAGGACTTATAAAACACCAAAACATTTATCAGACAGGGAGCAAACTTCTTACATTATATTGTAAGGAAAGATTTTGTCTCCTATCCCAGGCTCTACAAATACAATCTGCCACAAAAAAGGTTCCCCTCCTAAAACACAGTTTGCTTGTTTTTTAATAATCATTCATCCAGAAGAACACATCATTAAAAAGTGTAGGCTTTCCAGTATTTTAAGGCTCAAAATACTGAAATGTGACAATTTTTATGGCAATAATGCCAAAAAGTATTCATGGTTCCTCCACCAGAATTTTATTCCAGGCATTGTGGATCATTTAGACCATCATGTAAGAAATTAAATGTAAGGAAAATATAATTTAACAGATGATAACAAATTAAAAGAGAAAATGTATCGACCCTCTCTTGGTACTTGTTCAAAATCTTCTGCATTTGGTGAACTTGGACTTCTGACCTTTTTTACAAAATGCTGGCTACAGCTCTAATGATACGCAGACCATCTCCTCTGTTCGTGCAGGTTGTGTGATTGTATGTGCGTGTCATGTGAATGTAGGCTAATTCAGCGCCTTGCATGTTTCTACTTCTGGACAATGAAGCTTGAAGGAATCCATCAATCTTTTATGTCATCTCACAGAGAGTGGTTATCCCTCCCTTTTTCCTATCACAGGACTCTACTCCTCCTAGTGGCCATGAGAAAGAACAAGCGGCAGCCACTTCTCTTTTTAACAACTGCACTTGTGCTCATCTATCATCATGAGTTTTTATGTGCCCATCAACGCAGTGTAGATAGGGAATCGGGCATTAATGACTACACAATTAGAGAGAAGGCTTTAAAGAGCAATACATTTCAATTTAGGAACCATAAACCTAGTGAGTTGGTAGCTAATTGTAAGTGCCTCTGGAGTAATGGGAGCCCTTTGAACTGAGGTCAGGATGACTCAAAATCAGTTTCAAACAGCTTTTACACGGCTGCTTCACTACTTTAGTTGCCCACTCATTCTGACAAGCCGCTGCATATCTTATATGATATATGCAGAGGGAAACTTTTCAAGTTTTAATTAAAAGATGGCCAAAGCGGCCCATAGTGGAGTTGTTTTGGAGTTCATGACAGTGAGGGTGGAGACTGATATCTTTGGACAAAATGCCTCTTTCGCTCCATTTGTCAACATTTGTTTCAACATTTCCTTTCTCTAGTCCTCTTTTCCCATGTCCCAGCATCTGGATACCTTTGGGATGGAGAGTAGGAGCGGGGAGACGAGGCCCTGTTTCATCCCTCCCATCCCACTGTTCCCCAGGGGGCTTGGGGTTGGTTTTGTGATCTTGTGTCTCACATGACAGAGACACATCTAATCCTGTTAGGCATAAATATCTTACAGTGGAATAGAGGAGACAGCAGGAGGGAGAAAAGAGGAGAAGATGAAAGACAGGATGACTGAGGAGCGGGGGGAATATTTAAAAAGATCTAGCAGTCTCTATTTCCTAGCCCACATATTGGTTTTGAGTATACATACGTGTGTGTGTTTGTGTTTCTGTGTCTGTGTGCCCTCGTGGGATCTCCCCGGCTGCTGCCTGCATATCTGACAGACTCCTCTCAAGGTGTTTTCCCCTTGCTGTCTTTCTGTATCTGCTCCCTGAGTGAGAAAGTTTACCCTCTAGGCCCCATCTGAGCTCCAGGCCCCCCAAGGCCTCTGCATTCCCAAAGCTCCTACACACCGGAGCCCCTCAGGCTCCCTGTTATACTACAGGGAATACCCCCAAGAACCCCCAGGCCCCTCAGACTGTGGAGCAGAAGCTCTGCACAAGAGAGCTAGCCCGAGGGGAGGGGGGATGCTGTCTGGGAATACAACTAAGAACATGCTTCACTTAACATTTGAGCAGTCCCTTACAGCGCCTCCTGTTGGTTCAGCATTGTTTTTGCATGCAGGCCTCCTTGTAGCCGGTAAATTTCCTCTCTAGGGCCTTGACCTTGTTAACAATCCCTTGGGGGCTCATAGAGGCCTCTGTGTGCTACATGTGCATTGACCTTTCCTGCTCCCGGAGGTTAGATAATGTCTTTTTGGCCCAAAGCAGGAGCTTTGTAGGGATGTTGGATGCACCTGGGATTTTACAGAATTACATATTGAAATATAATATAACTCCTTATCAGACCAAGTAAATTAAATACTCCTTATTCAATAGAGCTCTAAAGCATGAAGAAAGTAAATGTTGGAACTTGCAAATAGCCTATAGGATGAACTGTGCTTGTTTATTGTCTTTCATTGTGTCAGTGAGGTTATATCACACTTACACTCAAAAAGAAACCTTTTTGTGGGGGTTGCACGTGGATTTGGAGGCTGTGAAGCTAGCAGGCCTGCTGTCCTACAGATGTCTTGGTCTGTGCGTTACCAGGTGTACGTCACCTGAGATTACCCACGCTGACACCCCTTAAAGGCAAACAGCCAGCAGTACAGCTGAGGGGGCATCTGGTGGCGTGTGTGCATGTGAGTGTGTGTGCGTGGATATGTGTGTTCATGCATTCAGATTGGTGGTAACGTTTGGCAGAACGAGACGAACGAGTGCAGACATCAGATATTATACTTTCTCCAATCTGAAACTTTCTCAATCAATTAAAGAAAAGTAGATCAGGTAGATCAATGTAGGGCCACGGTCAGTGTCTCTTTAAGTGTGTGTGATAATGAAGGCAGGACGTTTAAAGGATGAGTTCCTCATGCTCTACACAGCCTTGGCAGTCTCCAGTTAGGAATGAACTGGAGTGAGTAAAATGTTCCACTCCGCTGTCCCTCTGATCTTCCTCCACTTCCCGGCGCCCCTGCAGAGAGAGAACAAAGACAAGCTCTTCTTAATCAAAGTGCATTGGATTAAGAAGCAGAAAAAAACAGAACATCACAGAGATACCACCTCACAGCCATTAAGTGAATTGGAAAACAACCTGAATCACCACTTCAAATGAGTAGTCTGTGACCCTGAAATAGGAGAACGGCATCTTAATCTTTCTGTTGCTTTGGCAAATGTCGAAATCTGCCGTGGAAACGAAACAAGCAGTGCAGGAGCAGATGTGTGTGTGTACTGCATGTGTGTTTCTGTTGAGTATGAGTGAATGCCTTCGGTAAATGTGAGCTGTGATTTCCATGTGTGAACACGTAGCCAACAGCTAAATATACCATCGTTGTGTTGTGTGTGTTGACATTGTTTTTCCAGGTATGTGACATCATTAGCCCACAGAGCCATGCAACAGCTTTCTTCCCACACTGAGTCATATTATATTAATACACCCAATGCAGCTGAATCATCTCTTATAGACTTGCACACAAGCTGACACACAACTACCATCCACATCATGTATATTTGATGGGCCGGGGCTCACTCTGTACGTGCCTTCCTGTTTCTTATTTTTTTTTATTTTAACATACTTATTGTGGCTGCTCAGTACCACTAAGGGCAAGACTGAAGTGGAGATGGACTATATGAAGACTGAACAGTATGAGCAGTATTATGTGTTCAGTCACACTCCAGCACTGACAACTCGAGTCCCAGCTGCTGGTCTGGAAAGGCTGATACTGCCATCATGTGGCTTGCGGACGTAAAATGCCATTCTAAACTGGAGGCTATTATTTACAATGGGGATTTGAGTGTGTGTGCTTTTGTGTGTGCATTATGGGGCCCAGCCTATGCAGAAGGGCAGTCAGTGAAGAACAGCCAGCTGACAGTGAGGTATGTGTCTTTTCTAATGAGATTTACCGAGTTCCAGATGTTCCTAGTTATGAAGATGTGTGTTGGAGATTTAGGGTGAGGGTGAGACCTGCACCCTGTCAGAGTCACAGTGGGGTGCTGTTTTACTGTCTGTCACCCTCTCCCCATCATCCCCCCCCCCACCACTCATAGGTGGCCTCTTAACCTACACCAACACCTCTTCTTTCTCCCTCTCTCTCTCTCTCTCTCTCTCTCTCACACACACACACACACACACACACACACACACACACACACACACACACACACACACACACACACACACACACACACACACTCTTAGCCTTGACAACGATGTGATTCAACATTTTATAAACTTTAAAAACATTGAAAATACAAAAGGAATGTCTATAAAGGCAAGCAAATACACCACATATATACATAGCAATTTGGTGATAATCATGTATACGGTTGGAATATTAAGATTCTCTGTGTTCAACTTAATAGACAAAAAAAGACACATTGTCCATTTCCTAAATCCAGTTTATATTGTCCAGCACATTTTTAAGGTGACACAATTTTAACAATTTTTTAAAAAAGCCAGTGCAAGAGTACTAAAATATCCAAAATAGTGTATCAACATTTTCCTCATCTCACATAAAAAATAAAAAAATATCTTCTTGGCTCAGAATTACAGAGGTATTGTACCCCCTCAGTCTGAGTTTTAATGTCACATAACCGGAACGAGTGCTAGTTGAGGCACATCTTGAGGATCTTCATCCGAGTCTCTTGACGTCCGCTGGCTGAGGGAGGCATCAGCTGGGCTCACCACTTCAGTGATGTCTGGCAAGGCACCATAACCGCTGACCAGGCTCCAGCATCTTTCTCTACTAGCTGGCACAACATATTGTCACCTTCCTCTTTGTCCCCCTTCCTCCTCCTCTCGCCGCTCAGATGGCAGGCTGCAGCTTGGTCAGGTTCCTCTGGTGCATGCTGTGGTGACGCATCAGCTCGTCAGAGCGGGCAAACTTCTTCTGACAGTTGGACCAGCGGCAGGTAAAGGGCTTCTCACCTGACAAGGTGGGGACAAACAAGGGAAAAAAAAAAAAAGAGGGAGCATTGCTTTAGAGTGAATTCAACTCTTGGAATGCAAGCTTCTGTTATGTTGTACATGAATTAAAGCCAGGGGGACTATCTTAACAGAAAAATCTCATTGGGAGAAGAATGGAAAGGTAGAAAATAAAGGTATACGCACTTGTTTTACCTGTATGAGTCCGAGTGTGCGTCTTAAGATGATCTGACCGTGAAAACTTTCTCTGACACGTCTCGCACTCAAAGGGCTTCACTCCTACACAGAGAAACAAACAGTTGTTGTGGTGGCAGAGACAGAAATGAGGAGAATTTCATATGTTTTGAATAAAGCAAGCATTATAAATTACAACTGTTCAGGGAGGTTTTACAGTTTCAACACCTTTATGTGCAAGAGAAAATTCTGTTTTTAAATTCAAATCATTTAGAGTTCACAGATAATAATTAATTGGCCCTTTTCTGTAATGAACCACTAGAAGAAAAAATCTGTAATTTCAATTCATTGAATCATTTAAACATGCTTTGTTTTCTGTTTTGGGTCATATATTTGAACAAATAAGAACTGCAGCAGACTCTTTGTTTTAAAGCATAGATTAAAAAGCAACATATAGTTAACATTCATTTGCTGTTAGGTCTGTGTCAGAGAGGTAATTTCTGTAGCTGAAGTTTTTCGTATTCTTGTGCTGGATTAAATGATATTGTACAATTTCTGATGTTTTGTAACAATGATGACACATATATTTTCATAGAAAGAAACAGAAGTGACACAGGGAACTAAAGCCGTAGCCCGGATATTAGAAATAATGATGTCTCCAACAACATACCCCCTACTTCAGAAATTCAGAAAAAACCCAGTAAAATGTTTCAGTTGTTATTCATCTGTATTCTGTCTGTCTTCACATTGCAAGAATACAATTCTGGTGGGAAAATACTAAAGTATTTATTTATTTATGCATTGCCTAGTCTAAAATGCTTGAACTTGCCTATAAAATAACCCTCTTGTGTTTTAAACCTTTTCCCCCCAGGTTTCTAAAACTCAAATTCCCAGAAGAAAAATACTGAGATAATGATTTCAGTGTTCTCAATGGTGGCTATGGCTCTGGAGGAAACTCATACTTCACCAGTGTACCTGTGTGTCTGCGCTGGTGCCTCTTTAACTGGTCTGAGCGAGAGAATCTGCGTCCACAGTCTGTGAAATCACACTGGTAAGGCTTTTCTCCTGCAAAACAAAGAAACCATATCATCATCATGACCACCCAAATACCAAGTTCCACATCTGCTAAATCACCATGTCAAAGTTAGCCGCATTTTATCTTATACCATCCTTTATGTGATTAAATTTTATTCATCTGAGGATAGCTGATGCACAAGCTTTATCAACCTAATACACACACATTCAGACCTGGTCATAAAAACACTTGTTTTTCCCTTATAATACACCGCCTCTATTTTAGCTTTTTAAGCAAGTTGAACTTTAACTGTCTGTAGGAATTTCTCATTGTGATTTATAAAAAGCAGCAGTTTGAGGTCTGGCCAGGAAAAAGGAAAAAGTCACATCATCTCACCTGTGTGTTTGCGGCCGTGCATCTGCAGATGTGACAGTTTGAAGTATCTCTTGCTGCAGCCAGGATAAGCACATACAAATGGACGCTTTTCATTGGCCTCTGATGACCTTACGACTGGTGGAGCAATACCAGCTACCCGTCGGACATCCTTTAAGAGAGAGAGAGAGGAAGGAGAAGACAGAGGGCTTTATAATATAGAAGTTTATTTTGTGTATTTATTTACTTGTATGTATGTATGTGTGTGTATGTTTTGTGCTTTCATGTGTTAACTCTGTCTGACCTGAAGTCCTCTGAAGACACCGTGTGTGTGTATGTGATACTGGGCACTGACGAGCATGGGTGGAGGTGGGGCTGTGGGATCACTGTCATAGCTGGTTGCATGGCCGCTGCCGCAAGAGCAAAATTAAACATGATTTAAAACAGTGAAAATTTTGAGGGCAAAACAAATATTTTGATAGATTTGTCAGGTTGACAGGTAGGTAGAAAATGTATGTCCCAGATTGTGTTTATAAAGAGTTCAAACCTCCACAGCACAAACACTTCTTAACCATCACCACTACAGAGCTATCCTTAACATGATTTAACTCTTCCCTGAAGAACTGAGATCCAGTACCCACTTTGCAAAACCTCCAATTCGTTTTTAAAACACACAATACAATAAGTACAAGGCGGCACACAAACAAACACATATACACACATATGAATATGCTCCTCTCCACTTCCTAATCTCCCTCGGCAGTTGGCCAACAGCCATCTGGTCAAATCCTCCTCTTCCTCCTCCTCTGCACTGCCACAAATACTAGTCAAGAGTGAAGAATACAGCGTGTTATTTTAAAAAACAGAAATTACAAAAAAACCTCACCTCTTCATTGAAGATGCCAGGGAGTTCATTTGGTTCCATGTTACACAATCCAGCTGAGATGCCATTTGGTACAGGTTATCACTGAGTGAAACATACAGCACGGTCATTATTATTTATGTTTGTGGTAAAAAAAAAAAAAAAGAAAAGAAAAAATAATTTTATTTTTATTATTTATTTGGTTTGTGAAATTTCAAGGCAATGAAATATGTAATTACATTACTAAATCAAAAGTTAAGGAACAAGGTTAGCTCTGAGGTTATAACAGAAGAAGGGGGAAATACTCTACATGTCTTGGTTTGATTTTTCTTTCTTTATTAATTGGCTACTGCAATTAGAAAACACAGACAATATTGATGTTACTGTGCAGTCATTTCTCTTCCCTTGTATGGATATTGAAGACGTTTCGACGTTTGCTTGCTTATTAACACATCCTGTCCACCCACCACACTCCTCACTGGCTTCATTAAAAAACATGGGCTCAGAGCCATTCTTTACCTTGGCAGATCACACTAGTGCACACACACACACACACACATTTGATAAAAATGCACACACACTTGGAGATGCTATTGTGCACTCTGCGGGGGGGAGTGCCTCCGTGCCTAGTACACCATGAATCAGTGCATGACATCACCCTGTCCTCAGTATCATTTACAGGCGGGAACCAGTTTCAGGGGAATTCTGGACGGCATTCCTTGAGAAGTCCTTGAGGGAAGGATCGTGATGGTTCACTAATCAGCTCTGAACTATGTTAAACTGTGGAAAGACTCACTGATATCTGACATATGTTCACTGTGTGTATGTGAGAGCGTGTGCGTGTGCATGTGCATGTCTCTCTGTTTGTTTGAGGGTTTCCAGTTCATGCCATAAGTTGTAACAACAGCAAAGTCTTCCCTTCTCTTATCAACTGCTGTTCCAGTATTTGGGTAGCACATGTTCCTTTTCTCCAACAAAATTGCAGGGCGGCATTCAAAGAATTTCATCCTAATTTACCCTCTGAGATGTTTTGCATCAAAATGAAAACAAGTTGGGAACATATTCAGAGGTTAGAATAAGCAGATCCCAAGCCTTAACTACCCAACCCCCCACTCAATGTTCACTTTCAGTGAACTTGTCTCTTTTACTTTTCTCCTAATTTTTCCTCAGGGTGGACACAACCGCAGTAGATCACTCACTGTTTGTTTTGGCCTGCTGAGCACCAGTGGGCAGCACTTAACCTCAGAACAAATTAGGATTCGCAATCCAGACGGTGCAGAGGCAGACACATGGCTTAATATAGGATCAGAGAGAGTTCACACTTTTAAAAATTACCAGCAAGTGAGCAAGCTGCATGTGGTGTTAGTGGAAAGAATCTGCCATTAATTGATGAGCGAGGAGGCTGAAAACCTTTGGGAAGAGTGAAGTGGAGTCTCAAAGGGGATTCAAGGTAGCAGGAATCAAATAATGCAACAATAAGAGCACGCAGGGACAAACAGTTGTACCTGTTGTAGTTTCTCAGCAGCAGAGCTTGGCTGCTCGGACAGGTTTCTGCAGGATTGTGGCAACCAAACATGGAAGGAGGAGCCGGGTACTGCTGGTCAACTGAATATACAAAAAATACAGTTGCTTCAAAATAGGGTTGCAACTAACAATTATGTACATGATTGATTAATCTGCCAATTACTTTCTTCATTATAGATTAATTGTTTGGTCTATTAAAATGTCATATTCAGATTGCTTGTTTTGTTCAAATCTACTCAAGATCATTTAATTATATAAAGAAACCACATTCATATTTTTTGGGGCATTCTTATTGACTTTAATAAATTACAAAAAACCTTTACTTGATGATAAAGAAAAAAATTTCCAAAAATGGTTTCAGCTTCACTGGTCGGCCAAGTTCAGCTTTCCATTGTCCTTCAGAAGCTTAGTATTATTAAGCTTAAAATATTCCTAGGAATGATCTTGCATAAAAATGTTTGAATTATTTCATGTTCTTTTCATCAGAACAGACAGAAAACACATTCAAGTATACATTGTCAATTTCAAAGACATAGGCACACTTTTGTACATGCATGTGTGCTCGGACACACAGCTCTTCTTCTCAAAGAGAGAACGGGTCAATCAGAAACAGTGGTCCTTTTCAGGTTCATATAGTATATTGGTCCCCAGACAGTTTTTGACATTTCAGCAGAGTCCTATAAAGCTGCTTCCTCAAGTTATCATTTCCAGAGTCATTAACCATACGTATGCTTAAAGAGCGAGAGGGAGAGTGTGTTTATGAATGCCTGCGTATATGAATGTGTGTGCAGACAGAGACGAGGGGAGATGAAGGAAAAAGGATAATAGCGATTCTGTTGTGATATGAAAAATGACGGGTTACTTATATAACCTTGCTGTGACATGACAGTCTTCTAGTCTGCGAGTCAATTTAGTGAAAACATTTCAGGATGAAGACAGCTACCTATGTTGTTTGGCGGTGACAGCGTGTCCTCGTGTTTGAAGGACAGGCTGGAGAGCTGAGGGGTGTGGTGAGACGGAGTGTGACCATAACTGGGGTTGCTGTCCAAGCCCATTGCTCCATAACCTGAAAAGAGAAAACAAAAAGATAAACAACAAAAAGTTAAAATGATCTTATTTGCCTGGTTGAATTATTGTATTAACATCACACAAAAGGACTGTAACATTTTGAAGCTTTGCAAAGTCTCCAGTATCTGGTCAGTTATCTGAAGCTCCGTGGTATTAGCTTTTAGTCCCTGGCAGGGTTACCACAGAGAGACATTCATTAAACTACTAAATCCTCTTTCCTTGTAACAAATTCTTTTTCCCCCCATCTGTCTTTGGCCTTGTGGTTGCAATATTTATAGCAGGTGGAAAAAGAAATTTGGCAAACACACCAGAGACGGTCTGAGATGAGCTACTGTTGAATATTCTCTGTAAAAAAAACAAGGTTGAGGAGTAATGAATTGCATGTATGCTAACTTAATTAGTTATAAAATGGCAAAAAATGGTAACAGTACGCATTGTTGCGTCTAACATGCAGTTATCTGAGTGTAATATATAAAGATAGAAAGTTAAAGAATATTACATTTCATAAAGCTATGTGAAAAACATTATACAAGCATATTCAAACTGTGTGCAGTGTTAATTTTACACGCACATACAACGTAGACAGGCTGCTGTGTCCTGAGTCAGGCCGGAGAGCGATGTTGAAAAGTTTTTGAGAAAAATGACTCACATGGCTTTCTTACTTAAATCCCTGCAGCCTGCAGAGGACTACGCTGTGTGTTTTATCACTTCATCAAAAACTGGTTTCCACTGAGCAAACAAGACTCACTGAAAACTGTCTCTGAAAGTAACATCAGCAGACACTTACAGCTTTAAACCTCTGACCTCTGAGTAATGAGCCCCAACAGGCAACAGATACCAGCATTGCTTACAGGGAAGGCCAAGACATCAAATCAATGTTAGCACTTCATAGGAAACAGAAATTAAATTTGATTCCAGATTAATATTCCAGATAAATATCAGCTTAACTCATTGTGATCTGGTTAGTGCAGGTCTTCTTAATGCCAGAAGTATTGTTCAGAGAAATAAATCAAGCCTGTGATTAACTTTTTGTTTTGAGAATTCTTGAAGAGAAACACTTCTTAATGAAGATCTTAACCCAGTTTTCTGTTTTACTGCTCAGTGTAGTAATCGTGATCAATTGACTCGTTTTAAAGAACACCCACAGAATGGGTAAAGTTTTTCATTAATATCTATGTAATAGAAAATAACTCTATTTGCCAATACATGCCAATAAAATCAAAACTTTAAAATGCATAACTTCAAGGTAATTTATTCACATTCACTGTGGCAGCTGAAAATGCCATTATAAATAGTGGCATGTACATTTAAAAAGAGCTAGAGTAGATTCTAACAGTTTGTCACTGTGCCATATTTAGTTCGGAGTTATGCAGTAATAAGACCTGGTGAAACCTTATGAATGATCTTTGTAATGATCTGTTCTGAATTATGAATTTAACACAATAAAACATCATCTATTGAGACTATATCCTGTAAACAACAGTGCAAAGGAACTGTTATAGATCCCTGCCAAATCATTACCAGGAAGCTGTCAAGCCTATTCCTGACATGGGACAGAATGACCCAGTACAGCACATAACATCCTGCTTAGACACAACACTGTGGACAACCCCTAAACATCGAGTTACATCATGAACACGTACAGCAGGAAATGTAGAAAAACACTGGCTTGTCATAACACCTGGATTTTATAGTGAAAACAACTGCTCCTCATGTTTCACGGCTCCTACATAACATTAGAGAGAAGAGAAAGGTGGGGTGAACTGAGGTGGAACAGGTTCCGAGTATGCTTACCCTGGTTCCTGGGTGCAGGAGGACTGTCCATACAGCTGGGCAGGTAGGTTCCATTGGGAAACATCCTCGGTTGACCTGCAGTCGGCTCTCCAAAGGCCCCAACTCGACAAGGGCCTGAGCCTGTAAACTGGCCTGAGAAGTGAACTGTGAAGGCCCCAAGTCCACAGTGAGGGTCCTCTATTGGGTCAGTGTTCCCCCAACCGGGTTCCTGCTTGATGAGGGAGTGGTGGGAAGGCAGGGAGCCGTAGGGAGAGCCAGGGTGAAGGTCCAGCAGTTGGGTCCACTGGCCACCACCAGCTCCTGGCAAGGATGACACAGGAGGTGCTGGAGGTAAGAGGGTCAGATCTCGAACATCTGACCCCATCGACATGGCGCCACACGGTTCAGTCAGCATTGGTGAAGGCGGTTGGAGACAGACCAAAGAAGGAGTGGTGGTATTCCAGTAAAGGAGCACAGCTGGGAGATTAAAAAGTCACACAGTAATAAACTCCTGAAAGTATAACAAAAATACTTCTTGAAGAAACAATAAGCATGGAGCGAACTCTTCTGCAGAAACAAACATCAGTGGTCACAACAGAGGAGCCATCTTTCCTGCCACAAGTGATGAACTGAATAACGCGAATAAATGAATTAGTGATGATGGCCAAACTCTGGATCCCAAATCTCAAGCTCCCTAGGTATCTGTGGTGGGTTTGGAGTAGGAGTCAGTGAGGGTGCAGTGCCTTGTCCCTCTGCCTCTATAATGTCTGACTTTCCTCCTGAAGGCTCTAATACTGCGTAACTCATTGGACTGGGGGAGGAGCAAAGGAGACTGAGAAGAAGATGACTCCCTTGCCTTGCCCCAGCCAGCACAGACTGCACTTCTGAGTAGATCATGACTAACATCACATTTACATGACCAGGGGTTGCTCTTCATTCTTTGTTCAAGTTCAAGTGTTGCTCATTTGGATGTTTGTGTTAGAGTGTATGAATAAGTGTGTGCAAGGATGGGAGATGTATTCTGTTAAATAAATAAAGTCCTCCTCGTGCTGATATCCTCGTTTGCACACATTAAAACTGTCATTAATTGTTTTCATGGCACAGAGATTTGTAACATTTAAATGTTACAGTTCCATTGTGTGTGCATCAAAAATCTGAACATATTCAAAGCTTAACAAAAGATCTAAATTAGAAAAACAAAAACATTTTTTTTTGTTATGTGTACACTATTGACCTACGCCATCTTCTTCATCATCATCATTTCTTACTCTTCTGACTCATGTTTTCTGAAACCTACACCACTTTCAAAATAAGTTAGTTGGATGAGGCAATAATATAAGCAATGAATTCAATCAGAAGATACCAAAACATTTTAGCTTTGGTAAAGTTTAGCACAGTCCTGGTTTATGTGTTTACATATCCAAAGTTAGTCATCTTTTTTTATTCAATATATAATATATATAGGTATTTTTTTCTCAATGACATGTTTAAAAAAAATGGAATCTTTTTTAATAGAAAGACTGTGCTGGACAATTAATAAATATACAGATGAATAATTTATTACTGAAAATGTAAAAATGGTAAAACATGCAGAAAATGCTCTGAATTTTCCCATTTTGGAAAGAGTGCTATTCCACTGAAAGTAATAAACTGCATAAACTGAATGGCCTTGGAGCAAAGCCACATCACACAAAAGGATAATTATTTATTAGTCGAGAAGAGGGGGAGTTTGTGTGTGTGTGTGTGTGTGTGTGTGTGTGTGTGTGTGTGTGTGTGTGTGTGTGTGTGTGTGTGTGTGTGTGTGTGTGTGTGTGAGAGAGAGAGAGAGAGAGAGAGAGAGAGAGAGAGAGAGAGAGAGAGAGAGAGAGAGAGAGAAAGAGAGAGCTTAAAAGATAGAGGTTTTGACCTCAACTCGAGCTTAACTCAATGTGGAACTACAGCGGAATGCAGAAACTTGGAATATGCCTATAAATTCAAGACAGCTGCTGTGGATCTTTTAACATTATTATATTTGTCAGATCAGAATTCAGGTTCCTCTTTTCCTTAAAAGCTTGAAACAGTGACAATGTGTTTTAAAAAATATACTGTGCTACATCCAGCGTAGCAGAACAGTGTGTTACAGTTGACTTGTGATGAGACCACTATAGGTTAGAATTACTGTAAAAGCAAGTTTAATAAGATTAAAAAAATTATGACATACTGTATTACCACGGATTATGAACCCCATTTGTGACAGAAGCAAGAACAAGAAGAGCTAAAGCAAAAGCAGGTCAATTGTCTGTCAGCCAATTCAAATGACTTTCTTTACCCCTGAACTGACCAGTGACATCGTGGTCAATAATGATTCATCCACCACTGAATTAGTTTCACAAAAGGATTTCATTTGTTTTATGATATCTCATTTCAAAATGGAATTAAAAATCCACTGCAAATTTGAGCTTGAAGACCTGTTAGCCAGTTCTTGTCATCGCCATCTGGAATATTAGTTTAGGATTCCAGTGAACGCTAATGACCCCAAATTCAACTTAAAGAGAAGTGGTAGGTGGTGGGGGCGGGAGGAGGTACATTAGAAATGGGCAAAGTGAAGGAAAAAAGGGATAGAAAAGGAGTGTGTGTGAGAGTGTAGTCTTAAGTCACTGTAAGAGTGATGAAATCAGCTGCTAAAATGCTGAGGCAACGTTAACAGAGGTTACATGTCATTGTTGCACAATATCACTGATGTATCTTCCAGTGCCCTCTTGATTCCTTTTTCTGTTTTGAGTTCAGCTGAAGGAATGCTGCATACCTACAGTTGCTGCAGTGTTTATTGTATTGATTACAACGTCTGACTGGATGGTGATGCTGGTACAAAACCAGTATTCTTGACCACCTTGAACCCTGTGGGGAGATTATTTGAGGTATTCTGGTGTTTGTGAACTAGTTTGTACGGCTGTGAATGTCAGATTGATGGTTTTAGAAAATTATTGGACCCCCTCCCAATAAAACACTGTCTATGCCCCTAAATGCGAAACACGGATATATCTGGGTGGTTTGTGGTCACGGTTAAGATAAAGTGGTCTCTGACTTACTCTATTCTTGGAAAATAAACGAGTGCAGAGGTAGACCCGTACCCTTGAACACCCAGACATTCAGAGGATGTCCACGTAGCTGCCTTCAAAATAGTAGCAAAGAAAATTAATTTCTCCCACAACAATTCGAAAAACCTTCTGTGTTACACCCACTACAAACAAACACAAACTAAAATAATGTACTGCATGGACAAAAGGTTGTAGGACATTTAAAAGTATCTCGCCAAAAATCAGAGACAGAAAGAAAATGCAGTGCCTCTGGGCCAAGGCAAATGCTGTCCGTGCCTTCCCCAGTGGAGTCTTTAGTGGGGATTCATCAAAGATGACGGGGCCAGGAGAAAACAACCCTTTCAGCCCCTATGACGGATGGCAGTCCCCAAATACACCCATTCTTTCAGATCAATCTCTGGTTAACTCAGGGTTTAAAACAACATAAGTGTGCAGAGAAAGGGAAATGGTCAATACTGCCTCTGACCCTGAACAAGAAATACACAAGGCTCAAACTTTCTACAGCAAGACGAGTAGGAGGGAATTTGAGAAGGGTTTGTTTCATCCAGGGAGACGTGTGATAAACTACACAGATATGTGACCTGGCAGGGAACATGACAAAAGAAATGACTTTTTCCATTTTTATAAACATCTGTATTCATGCTACTGCATCTCAAGATAGTTTATGAAGCTGCTACTTTCTAAATCGAGAGCACTGGTGATATAAAATAACGTATAATTTATACTACTTTAAAATAAATTTTAGTAATCGGCATTAAAATTGCATGCGATGCGATCATCAAAACAGCCTGCGGGAGAGGACTGCCAAAGAACAACAGGTGTTATTTTGATGTGCTGACAGTGGCATGAAAAAGCCATAGTCCTTCACTTCTCTGTGTGGACATGGACCAAACTGATAACAGACAAAACAACAGTATGTTGAAACGTTTCATCATTTCCCTCCTATCTGCCTGTGGTCTCTAGAGAATGGTTACTATTTAAAACAAAAATAAGACCGAACAATATTCCTCTGTGTTTCTTTGCTACTTTCTCAGAGCACTATTTGGAAGAGCCAGGCCTCTGCTCTTTGAGATAAAATCTGAATGCACTGATTGCCTTATTTAACAATGCATTTTGGTAACATTTATGTTATACCTAAAATGAATTTCTCTTGAAGGCAATGTCCCTCTTTCCTGTGACCAATGTGAAAAACAACAATCGTCAGTTTTTAATTCTCTCTCAAAGCATCTCTGAGTCATCTTCAAAGTGTTGCATATCAGACTGGAGATAAGAAACAAAGAAGAAAGATCTGTGGGAGAGTGGGCATATCCACGGTTCATGTGTCAGACACAACACTGCTCCAGTGATCTTTCACACACCCGTTCTCTTCTTTTTGTTGATGATCACCTTTGCCCCCTATCACCAAACCCAAAGACCCCACCTCCTCCTCCTCCTCCTCCTCTCGTATTCATATCTATTCATACAAAGCTGGATGTTCCTGGATCAAATGCAAGAGGAAATACTTTAAACTAAGGAATGTAAATACTCGGATCTAACTGAAGATCAGCATACTGACAGCCATTAAAAGAAAAAGCTGAGGATATTCTAAATATTTGATATTGTCAACAAATCCCACGAAAAGACCAAAACCATTAATGTGTTAGTCTGTCTCAGTACCTTCCAAATTTCCAAGCTTATATGTGGCGCTCAACCGCAAGCCAATCGTTTTTTTCTGAGGATGTAAACTTAAATGGGCCATAAATACATACAACATTTTATTAAAAAGCCAAACAATTTGTTTAAACACCTGGGCACTGTTTTTAGCAAACGCTACTCTAACAGAAGTAAACGGTGTGTTTGTCTGGGACTATTTTTAGCTGTGGATTAAGACACATCCAGTGCACTAGCAAGTATTTACAAGTGTATGTGCAACTGTCTCAAAATAAATTACAGTGCCCACATTTATTGTGATAAAGTTAATAGTTTTTGGACAACAATGGAGCTTTGTGGCACAGATTAATACGCAGTTTCAGGTGAGTATCTTATAATTTGGACTATTGGACATTTTGTGTTTGCACCATTACTTTTGTCAGCTATTGGTTAAAGAGCAACTAAAAATGTGTCCATTAGTGTTACTTACTTAAAAATAAAGGCACTGTTGACCTTGTCCACACACTGTCATCATCAAACTGAACATCACAAGCTGGAATAAAATGACTCTGTGGAATGACTGAATGTCATATTGAAAGTTTTCAATTTAAAAGGACGTCTATTAAAAGTGCTGAATTTTGCTGAACAGTCTATGTCTCATCCCAGCAGGTGTCAGTTTGTCAGCATCAAGGCCAACCTTTATCACTTCTTTACAGGAAAACCACAACCATCCATGCTGTCACACCCTAGCAGCTGTGGACCGGGCCTAAGTAGTCATCAGAAAACATTTCAGATATCTCTGGCGGTTACCGTCTGTTGACATACCCTTGTGCCTCATTTTGAAGCTAGATGAGCAAAAGTTTTACGGGATGACTCTGAGATATATGCACAATGATGGGAAAATAGAGAAATTACCACAGTCGTGATACTATAACCTCTGACACTTCACTTTAGGGAAATACCGATTTACTGCAACTTTCTCGATCCCTGGGAAATAAAATACTTATCTGTTGCACTGAAATGCTATAGGTTGCTGAAAAGAATGTGCTTGATTTGCAAAATAGTTTT